ATAAATATATATGACACAAATAAGAGTTATTAAATGATTCTATAATCTTTGAGATTGACTTTATAAAATGTATTTACAGAAAATCTTGCTTTAGTTATATTTAAGGCAAACTTGAGTTTTATTTCAAAAACGTTAATATTGGACAATGGATTTCCAAGTTTGAATTATTTTTTCACTAATTCAGAATTGCTGACCTTATTGGAAGATTTAAAAGTTATTATTTAGTGTCATTTTATAAGACCTGCAATTAGAAATTTAAAATCCTGCCTTGAATTGTATACCCGTATTGAAGATGCTACTTAGAGATGAAGCTGGAGTTCATCATGGATAGTTAGTCTGGGGTCAGCTTGTGCAAAGCTTTAAAGGTGTTCTGCATGTGGTATCTTTTTAAAGTAAAATCAAGCCCAAGGGTTCTGGATTTTTCTCAGGCAAATTATTAGCCCAAGTGACACTAAGGTTATTCCTGAAGATTCCTGCCCCTCCTCTGCCTCGCTGCCTCCCTCCGCCTCCTCTCTTCCTTGCCCTCTTCTGCCTTTTCTCCTCCTTGTAGATCATAACCTTCCACTTGAGATTTTATTTTGATGGTTTCGATATTTCTCTCGGTGCTTCTCTTTTTATTGGCAGTTTCTTTATTCCAGTGAGAACCCTATTTTCTGTATGTAGAGTTTTGTTCAGAAACCCATGCCCTGCTTGCTCATTGTCTCATCACCTGAGAGGTAGCAGAACAAAAGGCAGCAAAGCTATTTGTTTTAGCTCTCTCCTTTGGGGATGCTAAAAACTGTGAATCTGCGGCAATTGGAGTTTGAGCTTGAGAAAGGCTTGGCATTTTCCAAATGGGTTAATGTCACCCAGGGACCTTCCTTGAGTTTTGATAGTGACAGCTTTACCACAGGGTATAGATCTAAAGAGGAAAAATCTCTTCAAATGAAAAGCTCTACGGTCTTTAGTTTTATGTCTACTCTTAAAGGAAATGCCTTATCAGATATTGATGATGCTAGGCTCTGTAAGTATGACTATTTGTCTACAAGCCAATGAGGACCTTACCTTCTCCCAGATTCACTTTCTGTGACAAGCATTGCATGGTGGAGAGACATTTTTCAGATTTAGATTGCATCCTTTATTGTTTTAACTTACCTCAGGGCATAAGCATGAAACAAAACAACGGAAAAAAAGTAGAGGCCTTAACAGTGAAAATGGCAGCAATAGAAAACATATTGGAGGAAAACTGCCTTTAAAATTCTGTAAATGGTTTTGAAGGTTTTAAGACCTTACAGTTCATCATTTCTCTAAAACCAGTAGATATCATTTAAGCTTAGTATTTGTAAAGCATTTTAGGTCAAGGATAATTTCCTAACTGCTTAGTGGCAGGTAAAATATACAGTTAAGACATTATCCTTGTCCTAAAGTCCCAGGATGCTGTAGGATAAGCACAGGACTGCTAACCACAAAGTCAGCAGTTTAAACCCACCAGTTGCTCCACAGGAGAAAGATGACGCTTTCCGCTTCTGTAAACATTTAAAGCCTTGGAAACCCTTTACTGGATCGCTTTGAGTCCGAATCCACTTGGAGGCAGCGAGTTTGGTTTAGAGAGCGTAGTTCATACAGAGTGAAGACATTCCACAAGCGTTTCCTGAGTAAGATGTTAAAGATGCACTTTGTGTCTGTTTGCTGTGATTTCCCTTATAAATAGTAGTGCACCCATTGATGTATAGGTCCCAAATGCTTGGGACGCTTGCTGTTCTTTCCCTCCCTTAGTTCTTTTACTTACTGCTTGATTTTTGCAGAGCACGAGTGTTAAAGAGATAGCTAAAAATAGACATCATTGTAAACACCTCCTCACATCTGCTTTTTCCCTGTGTACCTGCAAGGTTGACCAGATTTTTCTGGGAGTTGCACATCAAAAACAGTTGCAGGGAAAACAACATCTGTTTAGTCAACATTTCTAATGTTGGAAGACTGTGTTTGGTTTAAAACTCTTTCCTGATTGTTTTTCACATCGAGTATGTGTTTTCAGAGCAATGAAAATTGTGCCAGATGTGGAAGGGGCTCAGTATAGGCATTTTGAGGTTAATCAAACCCAGCTGTGCTTTCTCAGTTACCCATTTCACCCCATGGAGGGTTTGCAAAGTGACACATGTGACTTATGTATTTACTTCTCTCTGCTTACGCACTTGACTCTCCAAACCCCACGGGTGCAGAGGCATGAGCGGGTTTGCTTAGTGATACAGTAAAGAGAGCACTGGGTTGGGGTTCAGACCAGAATGGTGGGCCTCAAGCTCTTCCACTGCTTTCTGGCTCTGTTAGTTTGGTTCAGTGCCATGTTTCTTGAGTGAAAATGGGGGTGGGAACCTTGGGTGGTACAAGCAATTCTGCTGCTAACTGATAAGTTAGTGGTGGTTCAAACCCACACCCAGGCACCTTGGAAGAAAGGCCTGACGATCTGCTTTTGGAAGGTCACAACCTTGTTAGGCCTGGACTCACCCTGAGTCAGAACTGACGTGATGGAAACTGGCTTGGCTTTTGGAGATTTTGCCTTAATGAATTTAAAGAACCTGGTGTACAGTCACTGCCTGAAGAAATAGGTTGTTTTATAGGTTGTTTTAAAGGTAAAATTAAGGAGGATTGTGATCTTAACGTCAAGAGTGGAACTTAGTGTATTCATAGTTTTAAATCACTCTTACCTTGTCCCTCTTTGGTTCCGAAAACACTGAGCTCTTATGACTGTTAACTCCCTGCTTCCCAGTTAGAGGTGAACAGAAGAACCCCTAATTTATAGCACACGAAACAACGCAGCTTTTCATGGACAGGTCTCCTGTGCCCTGGGGTTTTGAAGGTGGAAGTAATTTTTAATAATCTCCTCTTATAACTAACTGCATGTATCCATATAACCTTACATTTTGATTATATAAGAGGTTTCGCCTCTCGATTTTTAGGGAAAGGGTAGGAGGTGTGGTATAGAATCTCATCATAGAAAGGAAATTAATTGTACTAATTTCTGCCTGAGTGTTCTTGCTAGTACATTGTGAAATAGTGTTCAAAATAATTTACCAAGAACATTTTTTTATCGTGACACCTGCTTCTCTACATCCATTGCGTCAGCCTCAATAAACTACAGTCCAACTAGTGACAACTGATGGTGTGAACTTTATTTTTTAATTTATTAAGTTTTTGTTAAGTGCCGTCGAGTCAGTTCTGACTCACGATGACCCTGTATATAGTTTCCAAGGAGCAGCTGATGGGTTTGAACTGCCAGTCCTGTGCTTAGCCATCCAGTGCTGATCCTACAACACCATACCGGAATGCCTTTATTAATTTTTATGCCTGTGGTATAAAACTTAAAAGGTGTACAAAAAAGGGTATCTATTGAGAAGTTTCCCTTCCTCACCCCCAGCCCCCCAGCTTCCGAGTTCCCTCCCTATGGAGGCAGCTACTTCTGTGTCTCTTGAAATTGAGATCTGTTCATGCCTCAATATTTACATGATTTTTCTTGGAATCGTTAGTTATGTGTTAAAGTATATGCTTGGCTATGTGAGCAGAAATGAGTCCTGTCACTTTTTGCAATGATCCCTCTTAATCAGCGTAACCAGCTTTAGGGAGAAAGTATTACCGTAGCTTTAGAGCATCTTGATTTCCTTCTCTGTGTTTTCCAGTTGCAGCATGAGAAAGCTGAGCTTGAACAGCATCTCGAGCAGGAGCAGGAGTTTCAAGTCAACAAACTGATGAAGAAAATTAAAAAACTAGAGAATGATACCATTTCGAAGCAGCTTACTTTAGAGCAGGTAAGCATTGGTAACTCTCCCTTTGTTTGTTTCCCTCAAATCATCAACTGGTTCTTTCAAGCTTTAAGACACCCTGAGGAATGTACATGAAGCTTATTTTGTTCCGTTTTTTTCTCCTTACAGTGGTGCCTTCATTTCTAAAGTAAGCATCAGTGGATTCGCAAAGCACCTGATCACTCTTTTGCATACTTTCTCTCTTTCTTTTTAAGCTGCAATTAGTAAAATTCCAGTAGATAGGTTGTTATGTACTGATTTATAGCAGGAAACATTAGGTTCCTTTTATAAAAACAAAGGGGGAACAAGACGTTTTTAACCACAGTATAGTGTCTGTGAAATTTCCTGAGACAGTGTTGTTATGGAACTAAAACTTCTAAGGGTTCTTAAGAACAATCAGTTAGCATTTTTATTCTGTGAAATTACAGTCAGCCTTCCATATCCTGGGTCCACTGTCTCAGATTCAACATAACCTTGGATTGATAATACTGAGCTAGAGAAACAGTTAAAAGTAAGTAATCAAAGCAATCCCCTAAAAGGTTAAGCGGGAGTAGAGAATGGTATTACATAGGATTTACCTTGCACTAGGACTCCTAGTGTGGCACTGTAGGATCAGCACTAGATTGCGAACAGAAGGTCAGCAGTTCAAACCCACCAGCTGCTTCTTAGAAACCCTGTACAGTGTTGCTGTGAGTCGGAACCTGCTCAGTGGCACTTAGGAACAACAACAAGTGGTCCAGGTATGGTGCTGCAGGATAAGCACTGGCCTGCTAACTGCAAAGTCAGTGGCTCAAACCCAGTAGCTGTGCTCCTCAGAAACTCTAAACAGGGTCAGTGAGTCGGAACTGATTCCATGGCATTTAATAACAATAACAAACAGGTATTTTAAGAGCTCCGATATGGTGATGTAGGATAAGTGTTGGACTGTTAACTGCAATGCCGGCAGTTCAAACCCACAAGTCACTTTGGGAAACCCTATATAGGGTTGTTATGAGTTTGGAACCGATAATAACAACAACAAAGATATTATAAATAATCTCGAGATTATTTAAAGGATTCAAGAGGTTGTGCATAGGTTACAGGCAAATGCAGGTATACCTGGTTTTATTGTGCTTTGCTTTATTGTACTTTGCTGATGCTGCATTTTTATTTATTTAGTTTTTACAAATTGAGGCAGTCTGGGTCCATAAAGTTGTACAGTCCTAGACTCCTAGGGAGCGTTTCTGCTCTGCCCTGCAGCATTGCTGTGACTCAGACTCGACTCCACAACAGAGAATGTGTCAGCAGCAGGTGCTCACTTCCTGTCTCTCTGTCACATTTTGGGACTTCTCAAACTATTTCAAACTTTTTCATAACTCTATTGCACATTTAATACTAGAGTGAAATGTAAACATAGCTTTTACATGCACTTGTTGTTAGGCGCTGTTTAGTAGATTCCAATTCATAGCAACCTTATGCATAACACAACAAAACACTGCTTGGTCCTGTGCCATTCTCACAATTGTTGTGCTTGAGCACCTTTCTGCTACAACTGTGCCAATCCATCTCGTTCACTGATCCTCCACTTGCGCTAGCATGGTGTCCTTCTCCAGGCTCTGGTCTCTCCTGATAACATGTACTTGTTACTGTTAGTGCCATTGAGTCCGTTCCGACTCCTAGCAACCCTGCGTAGGGTTTCCAAGGCTGTAAATCTTCATGGGAGCAGAAAGCCTTATCTTTCTTCGCCGGAACAGCTGGTAGATTCGAACATGCACTAGGAAATGAAAATAAAATAAAATTGATATAACAAACTTTATTGCAGTATTCCTTTATTGTGGTTGTCTATAACTAAACCCGTAATATCTCTGCGGCATGTCTGTACTACTCCATGGGGATCCTAGTACTAATCCCTCCACAGATACCAAGGAACAACCATATTAGCAACCTTGGTGGTTAAGTTGCTTGTCTGTTAACTGAAAAGTCAGTGGTTCAAACCCATCAATTACGCTGCATGCGAGAGATCGGGCAGTCTGTTTCCATAAAGATCCCGGCTTTGATGGGGCAGTTCGTCTCTGTCCTGTAGAGTCGCTATGAGTTGAAATGGATTCGATCACAGTTGGCTTTTTGATCTATGTATCCATACCCTGTTACCCAACTAAACTTGGTATACAGATAAGGAGTTAGAGACTTGGTTCTACATTCTAGGTCAGCCCCTAACTAGTTATGTGACCTAGGGTAATTTCACTGACTTCTCTAGGTTCAGGTGCTCCATTTCAAAATAGAGCAGGGTATAACAGAATCAGCAATGACAAACTTAAAAGGTATAACTATTACCTTAAGAGGTAATAGTTGCACAATAGCTTTCTTAACTGCCCCTGGCAGATAATGTATTTGATCACAGTACTTGCCATGGGACTCCAGACTGGACCTCGCTTTCATAACTCATACATAACCTTGGGTACCATTATCAGTTCATCCATGTTGGTATGTCGGATAAGAATTCACGCTGGTCCTGGCCTAGATGTTACCTAAGTTTTTTTCCACTTCTAAGGTCCTGGTGTGGTGCTACAGGATAATGCGCCAGGCTGCAAGGTCAGTTTAAATAGCAAGGTCAGAGTTGTAATAACCAATGGAATGTCTACACTCAGGTGGAAGTCTCCTATTGAATTCCCACAACAGTCAACAGTTCCCATTCTGTTCAAATTAGAACTTGGAAGGTTCTTTAGACACACCAAGTTCTTACTGTTGGTATTAGTTAAGAATGAACCACATGGCCAAGTGAAATTCTCACAGTTGGTATTGTGAGAATGTCAGTCACTCAGTCTTCACCTTCATGGAGATGATTGTCAATGTTTTTAAATGGTTGCTCTTTGTCATTTATTCTTTGGCTCCTACAGAGATTGGAGACAGAGGATAACACATAGGGTTAAGTTATATGGCCACAAGGTGGAGCTAGTTGCTTAATGTCAGAAGAAGAAAGGCCACCTGATCCCTTGCACCATCTTAACATAAAGACCATCTGGGAGGGCTTCAGTAAATGAACTTCCTTAAAATGAGGTGCAAGGTTTATCTTTTATATACTAAGTGAATGGTTTCAAAGTTCATTGAAGAAGTGAATTACCACAATGGAAACTAGAAATAAACCTCATATCCAAAATACCAAATCCATATTAAAATAAAAATGGAGAAAATTAATATTGTTGTAGTTTTGCCCCCCTTTTTTCATTGGGTTATTGAGTTTTGGGTTGTTTTTTTTTTTAATTCTGTGTAGCTACAAATAATTTTTGTGTTTAGAGGGATTTTTCCTGTAGTTACAATAAATATCCTATACATTTCTATGGATCTGATCTGTGTCTCCGTGGATTAATCTCTTGGGATAAGCATCTATAATATATTATCATATAAAAGTACCTGGGTGGCGCACAAACAGTTAAGTGCTTGACGGCTAACTGGAAGTTGGCAGTTCTGTTCCACTCAAAAGTGCCTTGGAAGACAGGCCTAGTGTTCTGTTTCTGAAAGGTCACTGCCTTGAAAACCGTATGGATCAGTTCTGCTCTGCGTGCATGATTCTCCATGAATCAGCATGAACTCAGTGACAGCAGCAGCAATAACAACATACTGTTGTTGTTGTTGTGAAGTGCCGTTGAGTCGGTTCTGACCCATAACGACCCTGTATAGGGTTTCCAAGGAGCAGCTGATGAGCTTAAACTGCCGACCTTGCAGTTCAAACAGCTTTGCAGTCTGGCGCCTTAACCCACAGCGCCAACCCATTGCACTTTGCCTAATAATAATTGATCTCATAAAGATGTACAGCCTCGGAAACCCTACACAAGGTTACTATGAGCTGGAACTGACTCCACAGCACGTCACCACCACCACCACCACCAATAATAACGGATAGACCTTTGTTCTTTGTCTTACAGTAAACTTTTGAATCCTACAAGTTCTTTGAGGAGAATCATGTGTCTGTCTTGTGCCTCACACGTATACTGTTGTGTGCATGGGTACCATGGCTTGGTTGAGACAGTTAAGTGTAGGTTTGGACAGGTGACTGGGAGCAGTCGTTGGCATTTTAGAAGAAAGCACAGTATAACGTCCAGGAACTGGGTACTAGATTAGAGTCTAAAGAACTAGGTGTGAACCTCTTTCCTCTATTTAGTATCTCAGCCACTTCCCTTTTTCTTTTTTTGTAACAGTTGAGGGTGCTGAGAGATATGGTGGTAAGTGGGTTGCATGACCACCACAGAAGTCCCCTGCCCTCTAGAAAGATGACCTGAAGCTCCTGAGCACCTTCTGCCCTGAGGTCGGTGCATAAGGAAAGACATGCACTGGTTAAACAGGTATAGATCCAGCTGACTGCAGGGCAGGCAGGAGAGGAGAGGAGAGGAGACAGAAATAGGAGCAGAGATAGGCAGTAACCAGTGGGTGTGGCATGCGGAGGGTAGAGATGCTGAGATCAGAGCCAGTGAACAAGCCATGAAGCTGCGTCCCGTAACCTCCTCCTGATAACAGTTGAGGAGAGAAGGATCGTGGCAGGCTGCAGTAAGAGATCTGAGGGAATAAGCTGTATTTACCATGAAGTCTTGTAAAAGACAGCTGCCAAGCTGTACCCAAAACAACAGCGGCAACAACACAAAATCATGACCCTATAGGATTTCCAAGGCTATAAATCTGTACGGAAGCAGACTACCACATCTTTCTCATACAGAACAGCTGGAGGATTGAATTGCTAACCTTTTGGTCAGCAGCCCAACACTTAATCTCTGTGCCATTGATTCCTAAAAGTTTCAGTGCTTCCAGATGCCCAGTGGGTACATTTTAGCCACTAGACCTGTCAGGTGACTGCAGGCGCTTTGACAAGACCCCAGCTTCCAGAAATATTGCAGGGAGAGCCACGCATATGCCACGGTGCCCTCACTTGTCTAGAACCTGTAGTAAATCAAATCATGAATAGTAACTAGAATGATGACTTTAACTCCTCAGGACAAGATTTTGTTTTTGTGTGCACATGTGTGTATATGAGGGGG